ATGGGGATCATTTAGTTCCAATTAATCTAGTGAAGCACTACTTGTGATCTTTCGTAGTGGGACGATAGGAGTAGAACTTAAGAATTTGTGCCTTAGAAATGGATGCACTTTTGATAATCACTTGTTCAGTTTTGTTTATTGACTTTGATTTGGTATGTACTTTACTTGACTTTTTTGCGACCTCTTGATTCATATTATGATTTTTCATATATGTAAAGAATCATGCTTCTAATTCTAAATGTATTTGTAACTTGTATATGCTTTAAATTCTTCTATGCCTAATTATTCCTTTTCTTACGCCTATAGACTTATATTAAGTATGGCTCGGCAAGGACAATGAATGGGTTGTGGTGTGGGATTAGGCAACCCGCACTCTTGAGAAAGAATGATGGCCGGTCTTATGTAATCAAATGGGATATTAGTGATAGATATGAATCGGAAATGAACGAGAAGAATTGACCTACCAGTGATATAAAAGATTGATCTAGTTGGGTACCTAGAGAGGTTCTCCCTTGTGCAATTTTAATAATTGTTCTACCGTATCTTGTGATTGGTCCTGTGGACATGTTTTAACCTTTTATAAATGTTTGAACTTTCGAAGTATTTCGTTGGTTATTTGTGAAGTGACTTGAACTCATTACTTATTTGCTGTACTTAAAAAAAAAAACAAAACACTTTCTCTCTTAAAAACGTTTTCTAGAATATATGTTTATTCAAACGCAATTCTTAACTCGAAACTTTGATGAAATTTTTGAAACATCCTTCAGTTATATGTTATTTCATTGTATATGCTCTTTAATACCCATGCATTGAGTCGCATGATTAATCTTCTTAAATGTATTTGAGGAATTTGAAATATGTATTAATGACGGTGGCAAAAACATTACCTGAAGTTTCTTACTAAGAAAACTTAGTTTCAGACCATGAAGAAAGGTTTGTATCTTTTAACTCTAATTTTGAAATTGTGAATCGTATTTTGCCACATACATATCCGAAATACATAAAAAAACCCTCGTTTTTGTCTAGCATATTATGATTGACTTGATTTGAACAAAAATTTGAGTGGTCATTTGGGACCAAAGAAATCCTGTTATTTATAAAATTGTTAATTTTGGAGATCGAATGCCAGTAAATGATTTTTGGACAAATTGAGTCGAAAATTTTGGTAAAGTTAGTTTTTTATTGAAAATATATCTTCCTATTCGAGTTTCGAACCACCAGATGGAATCATTTAACTAGACCTTTAATTGACCCTGGAGTTGACTATTCTTGTGAAAACCCTATTTTCGTGAGTAGTACAAGTAAAGTGTGATTGCTGCCCTATAGTTTGGAAGGTAGGAGTCCTATGAAGAAATCAGTGCTTAATTGTTAGTGCACATTATAGAAGTTGTGAATTTTGGTAGATCTAGTGGACCTGGCAAATAAGGGGTACGATATTATCGTAAGTGTGAATTTCGAGGACGAAATTCTTTTAAGGAGGGGAGATTGTGAGGACCCAAAATTTTCTTTTTTTATTTTATTTTACTGACTTAATTAATTATTTACTCACACGTTTTCTCCGAATATTTTATTTCAACCTTTTATTGCTCAAATACATGGAATTATGGCTCGCATGTATTTTAAGAATGACTTGATTCCAAAAGTTATTTTTTAAAAAAACTTGTTAAGTGAGAATAGTGAATACGTGTTTGGAGACTATAACCGATTTGAGAGTACAATGGGATTGAAAAATTGGAGACTTGTACATTAGTCTTGAAATAGGTATTTTTATATTTAAGTGCTCAAGTGATAGTTAGTTATACTATCGTTATAATAATTTCTTGGAGATTTCACTTTATCGCGCTTAAATCGGGAGTACGTGTTTTTACGCGCGCGATTAATTGAGGGACTTAAGACCATTATTTTTAGACTATTAAGAGTGAATAATAATAGTATGAATGAAAGTACATTAGAGATTTAGCGCACTAGTGAAATAAACTCGAGAGGAATCGAGCACGAAACACACGCGCGTGCGCGTGGGAGAAAGGGTTGACTTTTGAATTAATTGGAGCCACCCATTTTAGCTTCTCTTGGAAGCTTCATTAGAGCCCAAAACACACTGACTTTTGCTCCCATTCCAGCCATGCACTTCAAGAGAAAAAGAACCAAGTTTCTTCTCCAATTTCTTCTTCAAATCTTCACTAATCCTTCACCAAATCACCTCAAAATTTAACCACACTTTGCTAAACACTTGGAGAGCACTTTAAGCTAGAAAAGAAGGCTGCTCTCACGATTTTTCTTGAGCAAATAAGGACCAAAATTTCCGCCTTAATCATCTAAATAAATGAGTGATGATCAACCTTCAAAATCTTAACTTATGGAAGTTGTATTGCACATATAACTTCATATATTCATGTCGGTAGCTTTATTTATGTTGGATTTTGGTGAGTGGGCTCTATGAACTCCTAAAATGGCTTGATGGACTGATTTGTTGTATTTTGATGTTATTAATGTTGGATTAGTGGTTAATCTAGTGGAAATAGGTTGTATTGTTGAAGGAAAGTTCAAAGGAAGTGAAGAATGAATTTTTCCATTTCTGCCCCTGTCCATGTCGTGGCCCTTAGGACAATTTTTCATGGTTCTAATGACTTGTTTTTGATGTATATATGTAATATAGGTTGTGTAGAAAGTTTCATAAAAAAATTATGTGATTTGGTTGGCCAAATGTTGTGATTTCGAAAGTTCCTTCAAAATTGAAAATTTTTCCGTATTGCACTGGCAGTGTTTTTCAAACAACTATAACTTTTTGCTCCGATGTCAAAATTGAGTGCCGTTTGTGGCATTGGAAAGTAGACATTCTCAGTTTTCCAATGGTATAAAATTCATGTCCAGACTCCACTTGAGTGAATCGTACCACTCATTTGAACATGACTGTCCTGTTTCGCTGGTTCACTGGAGTCCAGATTTGGGTTGGTTGCATTGGACAAAATGTTTAAAAAGGAAAGAAGAGCTAGAAGACAGTTTTGCCTTGGGAAATTTCTTAAACTTTGATGGTTTAGTTAACTACCTTCCCGTGTAAATTTTCAAATGAAATTTGATAGAGGAGTAGTGCTCATTTGGAGGTTTAATTGTACAAAATTTGGTGATATTATAATACCATTTTAATATGCAAATGATGTCCCGAAATTGCTCTTCGAATCTGGAAAACTTTTCCTTTTCTCTTAGCCGAATGGCCAATCTTGACTTGGGACTTGTTATTTCGAAATTCTTAGTGTTAATCACCTAAGAAAATGTATCTTGAATGTTACTTAGACATTGTCTACACAAATGAACCATGTTTCAAAATATTTCATTAGCCAAATGATTTAGAAAAGGGAACGGTAGCACAAGGCAGCTTTGTCCTGAAAATTTAGAAAATTTCGTGACTTTGTTAACTGACTTCCCGTACGTATTTTTTCATGAAATTAACCAGAGGAATAACCCTTATATGTTAGTGTAATACTGCCAAATTTGTTGCCATTCCGAGTCCGTTTCAATGCCTAACCAAAGTCCCAAAGTTTGTGATTTGAACTTGGAAATTGCTTAAAAGTTTCGATTGTTCAGCAACTTTGAGCTACTATATCTTGGTACTCAAAACTTCGATTCGTGTTCTGCTTGTTATATTTTAAACTTTGTTTGCGACTCTAATTGAGTTCCAAATTTCAGATGCTGGTTCACATTGTATGAATTTTGCTGAATTTCCAAACTTCATCGAAAACCAACCCCGAAACTATCTCGCAAGCCAAAACAACAACTTTGAGACAAATTTTGAATCCCTTCCGTTTGGAATCATCGAAAATGTCTTGTAGAAACTTTTAGTACTTTAGAAGTAGTTTCGAACGGTACCAAGTTTTCCAATTTTGTTACTCGAGTTATTGCTTTATATTGTGTCTTTGCTAGCATGCTTGCATGTTTTTCCCTTGGTCTCACTGACCGTTAGCTCACCCCAATTTGTTTTCCTTAACAGATTTGGAAGTGGAAGTTCTGAGGCTTAATTAGTGACCCCCAAAAATATTTTTTTTCCCACAGGGCTCGAGGCCAAAGAAAGCGTTTGTATTGAGTGATTAGTGCCTGAAGGGATATCTCATATATAATTTGAATTCGATTCACTTGATAAGTATTTGATGTAATTATATGAGAACTGAGGACTTTTGTCTTATTCGGGGAATGATACCCTTACTTGAGATTTGTAATGTATCTTATCTCGTTCTAAGTTTGAAAAATGTTATTTCGTTTATTCTTGAGGTTGTACCCTATGTTATTGGATGTGAGTGATGTATTTTATTTGAGAACTGTAGTGAGTCCCGGCGAGAGTTGGGCAGGCGGTCCGTCGAGCCCTTTGGTTCGCCTTAGGGGGAGGTGGGGCTGTCACATGGAGACTGGTGGACTTAGCAATACCGGTGGACCTAGCGGTGCCGGAACACGAGCTACGAGTGTAGGTAGGCCGGTGAATCGGGTGGTGCGCCGACGAGTCCTCAGATATCAGAGAAGGGTCGGGGAGCCCTATAAGTTGTATTCTCCCTTTGGTCACACGAGTCGATCGTGTGAGTGTCAACATACGTATGGATACCTTGATGAGATAGTTATGGCTATAGATGACGATCGTCGTCGCCTAAGTCAGGCGGTTGACACTCTGAGAGCACAATTTGAGGAGGCCAGAGAAGTGAGCCATGGACAGGCCGTGCGCCTACATGACCTCGAGGAGGGGTTACGAGCTGAGGAGGAGCGGACATATACTCTTGGTTGTCAGCTTGAGGAGACCCACCTGAGGTCTAACCTCCCTGCACGGTACCTATTGCTTGTCCCCTTCCACCTGGGGCCCCTATTGAAGTAACTTCCTTAGGTGTCCCCAAAATTTTCTCACCAGCATCTTATCGACCCACCTTAGAGGGTGGCATACCTAGATCACCTTGTTCCTACTCTTGGTCTCCACTAAGCACACCTTTCTTTCTTGCATGGAAAGTCTTTACTTGTGCCCTCCTCTAGGCTTTCTCAAGAACCTGGGTGAAAGTATTAATTTTCGCAGCCGCCCAGGCTTCCTGTATTTCTACGTTTAACCCTTGCACAAACCGTCCTATCTTCCTTTGCTCCGTAGCTATCAATTCATGAGCAAATTTCGATAACTTGATGAACTGAGTCTCATACTCAGCTACACTTAAGCTTCCCTGATATAACCTAATGAAATCGTCCTCTCTTTTCTCCTGAACTATTGGTGGGAGATATTTCTCATTAAACTCATGGACGAAGTTCAACCTGGTCCATACGGTTCTTTCTCTCTCCCACTTAGCCCTTATCACGTTCCACCAGGCTCTAGCTTGTCCCTCAAACTGAAATACAGCAAAAGTCACCTGCTTATCCTCCGTATAGTTTAAAGCAGCGAAAATGTTGATCATCGTTTCTAACCACCTCTCAGCTGCTTCGGGGTCCGATTCTCAAAGAAACTTAGGAAGGGAAAACTTTTGGAATCTCTCTAGCACCCTGTCTTTGCCCCATGTCACGATCCCTAGGTTGATTAACAGCGGCTTGACCCTGCTGCTCTACTAGAATATTGGTCATTTGCTAAATTGCTGTTGCTACCTGATCCCCCCTTCAGCTCAGGGTCCAGGTTGTGGCTCAACCGTTTCACCTCTCTCCTCTCTAGGGTTCCCGTATTGGTTCTTGCGCCTGTTTAGCCCCACGGCCAAGGTTAGAACCGTGTCGTCGGCTAGTTTCACGGCCCCGACTTGTCCTACCCTCCATACCTCTTGTGAAAATAGACGATATAAGGGTAAGCAAAATAAAGTACCTATAAAATTCGATAAAAACATTTCCAACTCATAAGTGAAAACAATAGAACACATTTAAAATAAAATACTCTCTTTATATACAAAACATAACGAGACATTTACCCTAGGTATTGCTCAGGTACTACCCTTAATCAAAACTTGAAAAGTATAACCAAGTACGTACACAAGAATAATAAGGGTCCTAAATCCAACCGCCCAGGCTTCAATATCTTCCAAGTTCGAACTATTCGTATTCCCCGTGCCTTGGTTTTCGCCATCCAGACTTATCCTAATATTTTTCGGGATATCGACTTATCCTAAAGGCATCACTCTTTGGTACTCGGATACAGGATTCCAAAAATATGATAATTCACCACTCGAGTTAGCGAGTCTCAAGAGGAAATCAATCAGTTTTGAGATTCTTACCCGATATACATATTTAATGTCCTCAACAATAGACAATTGTTCCACACTTAACAAGCCAATCCCCACAGTCCGAGAACCCTCTCCCGGCACGAGTTCGATAAGAGCTCTGATACCATTTGTGACAACCCCACCTCCCCCTAGGGCTTACTCCAAGATTTAACGGACCACCTGCCCAACTCTCGCCAGGACTCACTCACTCACTTCAAGAAAATATGTTGCAACCTCGAGAGTAAAAGGAATAACAGTTCCCAAGTTTGGAACGTACAAATACATTCATTTCTATTTCAATCATCCATACAATCCCAAATATATCAAAGGATATGAGTTCCAGATACATTCACCCCTAATCGAGCACTAGCGTGAGTGCAATCATAAAAATTTCAAAAACTAGACTTTGCTAGCCTGTACCAATCTCACGCCTAACCGTACCCCTTGTAAAGAAAACAAATCTAATAGAGTGAGCTAAATTTCAGTAAGGTTCCAAATAGCAAGTTGCCCATTAATTAAAAGTGAAAGTATCAAAGTAGCAAAGTAGCGAGCATAACAAGTCAAGAAAATGAGTAATAACACTTCAAATAGCAAATATCAAAATGAGCGAGTGTAAAGTTTTTAAAAAGAAATAATAACATGACAAGTAATAATCATTTGAAAGTATAAGGATACGGATAGCTCTTAGGAGCCAAATTGCCATTGCTTCACCAGAGCTTGATCAAGTAGTAGTTGACACTCCGTCAACTTTCGAGTAAAGTAACCAATCCAGCAGTACTTCGCTTAATGCCAATCCGTCCAACATTCAACCCCCTTACCAGGTCCGAACACCAAACTAAACAAGTGTGGTAATATTCGAATATACCGATTAGTCGAGGAGGTATCACTCTACTCGACAAAACAAGATATCCATGGTTCGTTATCTAATTGACCAAGCCCTTGCCGGCTCGACTCGATTAACTAGCCAGTGGGGTTTGGATCCCCAAGAAGTGAGTATAGTCGATGAGATAACGTCTCCAATCGACTTAATCACGAGAAAGGTACGGAGCGGGAATGATAGGTACCTCCCACTCGGATTGAGTGTGGTACATGCGGCCGCTCGGCACTTACAAGCACAAATATTTCAAGTCAGTTGCAACAAATGAACAAGTATATATCATATTAGAGCAAGTGCGATAAAGTATACCCTTACTCGACCAAACCAAGCAAATATTATTCGATCACGTTGGTAAGAATTTAAAACAAGTATCAAGATCAATTCATGTATTTGGAAGCACTCACCAAAGGTCCAGTGCTTTTCAAAATCACGTTCAGGTTCAACTCCTTGGTTGGAGTCCAAATCTGCGATAAAATATCATTTAAGAACGTAAAACTCTCTAGAGTTTGAAACTTAGGAGTTTCGCTTCAAGAAAATCAATTAAATGAAACTTGTTTAAGTGGTGGCTGTATGGATTATCAAACTCTAGAAAACTCATGCTCGCTTTTTGAGTTTCCATAGAGAAGTGATTTATACTCTTGAAATCACACTTAGTATAAAAACTCGAAAAATTGTCTTTTAAAGGGTCGCTACTTTTACTTGTTAAAGAGTACGAGTTTTGGCAAAATTTTCAACTTATGTGCCTCTTACTAATGAAAACTCAAATACCAAGAACTAGCAAAGTTCGCTTCAACCTCAAGTTTTCGCTCAAGTCTCAAGTTCACTCGCCTAACCCTGGAGCGAAAATTTGGGCAGCATGCCCTTTGTATTTAGCTATTTTTCAGCCACTTATGGCTTCATTATTTTCCTCAACTCAGCCCAAATTCAACGCATAAGCAATCTTAACACAATAGCTCTTCAACTAGGATCAATATCATCCAAATACAAGTCAATTCTAGTAAGGAAACCACCAAGACCAAAGATGGAAACTAGTTTTAAAGAAGAATGTCTAAGTGATAGGTTTGTTATATTTCGGCGTTTTGGTCACAACTAAAGCCACGCTTATCGGATTGGAGAAAATTTTATGGCATTTCGAAGCTAAGACAGAGACCTACATTTCTTACGAAAACATCGACATCTAGTTCTTGCATTTTCAAACCACTTTTGAAATCTTAGAGAAAACAGAAAGCTGTCGGTTAAACAGGGCATTTGGGCAGTCAGGGATATTTTAGTTATTTCACAAGTTATAGTACTCCGATTGAGCTGAAATTTTGTAGGTAGATAGTTAACTTAATTCCCTACAACTGTCATGTTTTTAGAAAGAGCTAATTTGGCCTTTAACATGGACGAATGTGCAGGTCAATTTGGTTCCAAAAATAGGGCAGAATCATTACAATTGCCGGAATTTGATGTTTCAATACTTAAAAGTAACATTCATGCCTTTAATCGCTACTCCAAGTCCCTATCCAAGCTTATCAACATCATATACTAGATAAACAATATTAATCAAAACTGAAAATTTCACCTTACCATAAAAAACTAGGAAATTGACCATTACAAGCCAAGATTAAGTACTTCTATACCAACTTTAGCAAGATTAAACAAGAGAAAAGCAAGTTCAAGCTTTATATCTTCCGAAAGCCCCTTGTAAGTGAGAAACAAACCACTATCTTCCCAAAATTTCAGCACACTAAGCCTTCTAATCACCAAGAGGTAAGTTTAAGAGGTTTGGTTTTATTGATTTCTCTCAAACATGCCTGATTCAAGGGTTGAAGTTGCAAGCTTTCTTCCTCTCTTTTCTCTCCTAAACTCACGACCAAGACCAGCAAGAAATGAAGAAAAACCAGCCAAGAAGAAAGATAAGAAGGAAGAAAAATTTACTTGGTCAAAACTCTCTAGGTTTCCAACAAGTGTCACCATAAGATTCCATCTTATTTTTTTTCTTTTCTTTCCTTTTCCTTAGTCAACAAAGATGGCTGGATTAAGAGGTAATTTAGGGAGGACTAGATGAAATAAAAACAAGAAGATTAGGGTAAGAAAGTAGTGGTCAAGTGGTGTACTCGATCGGGAACAAACGGTGCACATCGGTTCAAGCCGATTTTCCTTAACTCGGGCGTATTAGTATTTTAACTTATGATTCACTAACGTCTTAATATCACTTCCAATCACACACTTTTCCTTATCTAAAACTCACTCTTAGCCACCAAATTTAATACACACCCCTCGCTAATTAATCACGCTACCAAAATACGTAAAAACCCTAATTTACAGTAACTGTAAAACTAAAGATGAATCTCTTGATTCTATGATTTATTTCAACTATTGAAGGAGGTAAATGAGGAGTAAAGATATTATAAAATAATTTATTCAAATAAAAGGGAATTTTAAGAAAATATGAAGAATTTTGCAAGTCTTCACACTCTTTCCCCCTTAAACAAATTTCGACCGCGAAATTCATACATTTATTCGTACATAGCTCAAGGTATTCTTCTTACATGTCCGTCTCTAACTCCCAGATCTCCTCATTAGTCAAAATTTTAGCCAGACAATGGAAAATATGAATCGTACCTTCTACCACTTTAGACTGATTAGGCACTTTCCGGTGGTTTATGGTATACATTCTGGCAGGCACTCTGGATCTATTTCCTCCCACATTCCGTTGTTTAGGGTTTGAGTTCTCAGCTAGCTGGGTATCACAACTCAGTGGACAATTGGCGATCTGGTGCTTAGTGCTTCCACACCATAAATACTTTGGAGCCTTTCGCCAGCAATTCTTTTCTGTATGGTTGGATTTCCCATAGTACCCACAAGATACTCGTGGGGTTGAGGTCTGACCTCCCTGCACGGTACCACTTGCTTGTCCCCTTCCACCTGAGGCCCCTCTTGAAGTAACTTCATTAGGTGTCTCCAAATTTTCTCACCACCATCTCCTAGACCCACCTTAAAGGGTGACATACCTAGATCACCTTGTTCTTGCCCTTGATCTCCACTAAGCACACCTTTCTTTCTTGCATGAAAAGCTTTTACTTGTGCCCCTGCAATCTCTATCCATTAGGCTTTCTCAAGAACCTCGGTGAAAGTATCAATTTGCGCTGCCGCCAAGGCTTCCTATATTTCTACGTTCAAACCTTGCACAAACCATCTCACCCTCATTTGCTCCGTAGCTATCTATTCAGGAGCAAATTTCGATAGTTTGGTGAATTGAATCTCATACTTAGATACACTTAAGCTTCCCTGACGTAACCTAATGAAATCGTCCTCTCCTTTCTCCTGAACCATTGGTGGGAGATATTTCTCA